TAGCTGCAGAGTAGTAATTATCAGGATTTGATCAAAAACGTTTTGAAAATTTTGATTTGTGCAGTCTATATGGCTATCTGTAATGATAGTCACTGGTTGCATGTTCCTATCTGCAACAGTACTTAAGATATCACATTTATGCATATTAATGAGGACACATTTCCATATATGGTCATCTTATATATTATTCATATACAATGCTATCATTATGTCACTGGTTGCATGTCCCTACATATGTAACTGCAACAGCGTGCAAGATTATACATTATATATGCATATTATATTTGCATATTAATGAGGTTACATGATCATATGTGGTCATCTGATATATTTGTCATATCTCTTGCCTGATATCATCATTATGACAGAGTTTGCATTCTATCAACAGCAACAGCAATTAAACACAATATACCATAGATGGTACATAAACAAATTTGGGAGTCTTAGACCCCTGGAAAATGGTGCAATTGAACACTTCCAGATTTTACAAATTCTAAGATGGCGGCCAAATCATGTGACTAGTCAAAAACCTGTTTCAGTCAATTTGTTGAGCGATACCATATAGCTACATTTTCAGACCAAATGATAAAGTGGTTTAAAAAAGAAGTTGTGGAAAAAGAAGAAGAAGAAACAGAGAAATAACAACAGGCTTTCAAACCTGACAGGCCTAGAAATCCTACTTAGTGATTGATGGTGTATGGATGGTGTATGGTAAGGTTATAGTAATCTATTGAAAAGTTACCTGATCCAAAAGGTAAAGCCTGTTCACATACTTCTGTTCAGTTACCATCAACTCATGTGCTACCTTGTGAGCCTCATTGTCAAACTCTTTTTCCTCTTCATCAACTATGATTGGTAACTAGTCAGGAGAAAAATAGTTATTTTATATCAACTATGATTGGTAACTAGTCAGGATAAAAATAGTTATTTCATATCAACTATGACTGATAACTAGTCAGGAGAATAACAGTTATTTCATATCAACTATGACTGATAACTAGTCAGGAGAATAACAGTTATTTCATATCAACTATGATTGGCAACTAGTCAGGAGAAAAATAGTTATTTCATATCAACTATGACTGATAACAAGTCAGGAAAAATAATATAGTTATTTCATATCAACTATGACTGATAACAAGTCAGGAAAAATAATATAGTTATTTCATATCAACTATGATTGGTAACTAGTCAGGAGAAAAATAGTTATTTCATATCAACTATGATTGGTAACTATAACCATACAGTTTGTGCTGGATACAAATCAAAAAACTTTTAATTTTTCCCTTTTCTATATCAAAATATGTCATCAGAAAATGTTCTTTGTAGGCACATTATTACAAGCCGGTACCAGGTAGCAGTGATTTCAAACACTGATGTGTACATAATTCCAAAATCCTAGAGGATTACACCCAAAAAAACAGTGTGAAACTAGAGTGCAAAGTAGTGGAAAAGTGATGCAAAAGGTGAATCTACGATGTAAAGTAGTGGAAAAGTGGTGCAAAGTATTAAACTAGAGTGTAAAGTAATGGAAAAGTAGTGCAAAATGATTCTAAGGTGCAAAGTTGTGTTGAATGGATGCAAAGTGTGAAACTAGAGTGCAAAGTAACGGAAAAGTGGTGCAAAATGCGAATCTAAGGTGCAATGTTGTGGAAAAGTGGTGCAAAATATGAATCTAAGGCACAAAGTAATGGAAAAGTGGTGCAAAATGCAAATCTAAAGTGCAATGTTGAGGAAGTTAAAGTATTATAGACCTCTAATACAGTCGCAGTAAACCACCTTTTTATGGAAGTCAGGGAGGCCGGCCTATCCTGCCTGCCTGGCCGAAACACAAAGACATGTGCCTGGCACCCCATCCCGAATCCTTAGTGCGGTTTGGTGGCAACTCCGTGCTCGAACCAGGCAGAGAAGCAATTCCTCCTGACCCTCCGGGGAGACAAAAATTTGACAGCCGGGGGATGACGATC